TTTTCCCTTCCAACCCAAACCATTCCAGGACTCTGTGGTTTCTTCTGGACGTGGAGAGATTGCCATGGAAATCTCCTTTTTCCTGCAGCAGTAAATCCTGCCTTAGTGCCACCAGGGTAGGGGATGAGTGTGGGGTGTTTTTATATCAAGTCTCACATCCAGCTTTACTCTTCCCTTCCTGGACCTGAAATTGCAGTTGTAAATTAGCTTAATTGGTAGCACTGCGTTAAGCATTGCTGTCTGACTGACTTTTAACAAGGGGGTTTAGAGTTAAACTGCAGGTTTAAGGGAGGTCAACCCCCCATAATCACCAGGAGCAGCCCCTTGGACCCGGCTCAGCTCCAGGGGTTTCACCCTGCAGCTCTTCAAAGGGAAAAAGGAGAAAGTCTGACAGAACATAATCCCGTTTGTGCATTTTGGCCAGGAATGCTGGAGAGATTCCTCTTCCTTCCAAGATGCCCTTTCTGGGGCCATTGGGACCATGTGCTGTTGGATCATGGTGAAGCCAAATTAATTATCTCTTTCCCCACTGATTAACTCTTCCATGTTCTGAGGACACCTGGTGTCCCTGTGTCCAGCCCTTGGCCAGCAAACTGCATTCCAGGCACCCAGAAAGATTTAAGGGGAAGTTTCTGGCATTACTTTGGAGAGGGAAAGGAGCCACAGAACCTTTGTGTGCCAAAATTGGTTCTGGAGACTCACAGGATGGGGGGGGGGGGCTGTTAAAAGCTTATTAGTGATCTGTGATTTCCCAACCATCAGCCAGCTTCTGGAATAAAATTGAATAAATAACAGCAGGGCTGGGTTGGGTTTTTTTCAAGGCAATTTATTATGAGCTCTAGAAATTGCCTGAAAAGAGCCAGTTCCATCTGGGTACTTGGAAATTTGGGAATAATTGGAGGGTTATTATAGGGTAGAATTAGTCAAAGCATTTATTTACAGATTTCTTTGGCCTCCATCTGCCCCTTATTAATCCGGGGAGGCAGCTCTGAGCTGGGCTGACAGCGAGTTGTAGAATCATGGAATGCTTTGGATTGGAAGGGAAGTTAAGGATCATCTCATCCCACCCCCTGCCCTGGGCAGGGACACCTTCCACCAGCCCAGGTTGCTCCAAGCCCCATCCAACCTGGCCTTGGACACTTCCAGGGATCCAGGGGCAGCCACAGCTTCTCTGGCTGCCCCTGGTACAAAACCATCATTTCCTGGTTTTGACGTAATGAAGAGGGGGTTTACTGGATATTTTGGGGGTTTTTTTGGAATACAGGCATTCTCATACCTCTCTCAGGTGATTTGTGTGCAGGCAGAGCTTTGCTGGTGTTGGGAACAGCTCTGGGATGGGGATGTTCATTGGGAGTGAGGGACAAAATGCACCAAACCCTTTTCCTTTGACAAACCCATGGCTGGTTAATGCCATAATAAATAATTCCTCTGCTTGCAACCAGTTTGCTTCCAAACCAGAGCTGAATATTTATACTGAAAGTGAATATTAATAATCCAGAGAACTTGGTGAGATGGCAACAGGCCCATGAACATGATGGAGGCAGCACAGGCTGTGAGGGCTGTGGGTGCTGCTGGGGGAGAACTGAGGGGAAGAGAGCACAAAAAAAACAGGAAAGCCTTTCCCAGCAACAGCAGGAAAGGAAAACTGGCAACCAGGAGGGCCAGTGCCTAAAGAGTTCCCAGGAGAGCTGGAGAGGGACTCGGAACAAGGGATGGAGGGACAGGACACAGGGAATGGCTTCCCACTGCCAGAGGGCAGGGAGAGATGGGATATTGGGAAGGAATTGCTGGCTGGGAGGGTGGGGAGGCCCTGGCCCAGGTTGGGCAGAGAAGCTGTGGCTGCCCCTGGATCCCTGGAAGTGTCCAAGGCCAGGTTGGATGGGGCTTGGAGCAACCTGGGCTGGTGGGAGGTGTCCCTTCCCATGGCAGGGCTGGAATGGGACAATCATTAATGTCCCTTCCACCCCAAACCAGTCTGGGATTCTGTTATTGCTGGAATGCTCCCCCGGGGATGGTTCCAGGCAGTTGGAGCTGCTGCTCCAAGCATGGAATAGCAGAACAGCACTGTGAGCTCAGAGCTGGGGACTGAGGCTTTGCTGAGGGAATGGAATGTGAAGGGAAAGCTGGAAAACGCAGCAGAGCTGGAAGAAAACCCGGGGATTGATTTCTTGTCCAGGGGCTGATCATGTCAACACCTCTCAGCACCGGCTGTTCCCTGACAGGTATTCCCAAGAACCTTGGGAATACAAGTGCTGCTGTTCATCCAGAGGCTCTGAAATCATCTGTGCCCTCGGGTTTGTTAGGGAATGAGATACATGGATTGGAAGCACAAATGCTATTCCTGCAATATTTATCCCTCCAGTGAGCTTCCAAAGGAGTGGAACAGTATGAGGCTGCTTTTCCTGACATTCAGCTGATAAGTTTTTCGTTGGTAATAGAGAGTGTAAAATTCCTCCCCTGGAATCCTGCTGGGAGGGGGCAGGATGGGGAGCGGGAGGTGGGAATAGCCCTGGGGAACAGCAGCTGGTGGGGAGGGGAGAGACCTTCCCTTGGCCATGGGAATGCCTGGGATGGGGATGGAAACGTGGATGCAGATGCTGATGGGGATGGAGATGGGAATGTGGATATGGATGGTGGGTTGGGATGCAGGTGCTGACAGGGGTGTGGATGCAGATGGGGATGTGGATATAGATGTGGATGGGACTGGAATGTGGATGAGGATGCGGATGCAGAAGGGTGTGGGGATGTGGATGCCATGAGGATGGGGATGCCATCAGGATGGAAATACAGATTCAGATGTGGATGTGGGTACAGATGCAGCTGTGGCTATGGATGCAGATGCCAGCCTGTCCTGTTCCCAGTTCCCCTTCCCAAGCCCTCACCCACACATCCCCCCACGCCCCCGTTACACCCCCAAAGGCACTTTGCTGACACACCTTCCCCACTAAACCCCAGTTCTTTATTTGATGTTCCCCACACACCCAAAGAGCCCTGGGGGGATCCCCACCTGACCCTGGACTCTGCAGGACAGTGGGATGCAGCAGGAAGGGCTCTGGTGCCTCCCCCCTCAGCAGAACCAGCCATGGTGACAAATAATTGTCTTTTGCAGACAGAGTGATTTGCATTTGAAGCAGTTTGTTACCCGGAGCAGGGGTGAGCAGAGTTGCCCAGCTGAGTGCTCCACAGGCAGCACACAGCCCCTTCCCAAGGCTGATCCCTGTTGGACACATCCAGTCCCCAGAGAGGTCCCTGTGCAGGGTCAGGGCTGGGGCAGCACAGGGGACAGGTCTGGCTTTGCTGGGGAAGCTGCTGCTGAGCAACTGTGGAGTGAAGGGCACAGCTGGGGCAAGAACTCGCTCAAATTACCTTTTTTCTCTGAATTGCAGGTTTTTCCCTAAATCCATTAGGTACGGGATTGCTTCCGCTTCACTGAGGGAGCAGGAGCACGTGGTGACTGGGTGGAAACACACTGGGAATTATAAATAGTGTCCTGGAGGAGCTGGGGGATGTCTGGGGCTCTGGGCATGATCCTGCACGTGTGTGGCCTCCCTGGTGCTGGGGCAGCATCCAGTGGTAAAGAAACTGGATTCCTGTTTTTCTCCTAAGAGATAAAGTGGAAAACTGAGCATTTTGCCTTGTGATCTGTTCTGATGGGTCAGCAGCAGAAACCATGATGCAGAACTAACACTCTTATTCCATTAACAGGCAGATAAAGTGTAACAAACTGGAATTTTCCTGGCTGTGTGTCACCAGCCCCATCCCATCCCCTCTCCCCCTCACTGCAGCCCCACTGCTGTTTTTCTCATGTTTTCCAAAGTTTCCGTTCCTTTCCCCCTGGATGCTTGCAGGCATCCTTGTGAGCAAAGGCAGAGGATGTGTTTGCAGAGGTGGATTTAGCTTCCTGAAACCCAAATGTCACATTTCCACTTGGCTGTATAAAATGGCAGCGTAATTCTATTTACAGATTGCTACAAGAAAAAAAAATTAGTCAAAAAAAGAAGCAGCAGGATTTCTTCTAGAAGCCTCCAGCAAGCCATGATCATCTCCCCCTGATTTCCAAGGTTGGATGGGTCGCTGGGGTGGCCAAGTCTGGGTGTTCTAAAAGACTTTTCTCCACAGTGGGAGGTGGGGGAGGAAGAGGAAGGGCAGTGTCAGGGTCTTAGTCATGGGGTTTTTTTCCCTGCTAATTTTTTGGAGCCTGGATCTCATCCTGGCAGCGGTGGATCTGTGAGCAGGTTGCTGGTGAAGCCTTTAAAGAGGAATAAATGTATATTGAAGGACTTATTGCTCGCTGATGGGTTGGAACGTGCTGACACAACGTGCTTGGCTTGTGCATGTGGGGTCTGGCTTTGTGTGTATTCATTGATATGATGAAAATATGCAATAACTTAGTAAGACTTTAAGATCTGCCATGTCCAATTTTCCATTACCATTAGCAGCTCTTGCTGGTTTAATTACCAGGGCTATCAGGTAGCCCTGTCCCTTTGTCACCAGCACCTTCAGGAGTCAAAGTGTCTGGAATAGTAGATGGGAATTATTCAGTTCCACTCCTTGCTGTTACTCACTCCTTTTCACCTAGAGGATGACAATTTAATAGCTACTGTCTGATAGAATCATGGAATTGTTAAGGTTGGAAAAGGCCTTTGAGATCATCAAGTCCAACTGTCAACCCAGCACCACCACCCTGGTCACCACTGACCCATGTCCCCAGGTGCCACATCCACACAGCTTTTAAATCCCTCCAGAGGCGAGGACTCCACCGCTGCCTTGGGCTGGACAGCCACTTCCATGAAGGAATTTTCCCTTAAGTCCAACCTAAACCTCCCCTGGCACAACTTGGGGCTGTTTACTCCGTTAAATGGCAGGCAGGCCCATGCCTTTTCTTTTACACATTTTAAAACCATAAACCCCATTCCACTGGCTTGTTAAAAACCCCAGTACCTCTGTGCATCCCCAGTTATCCGTGACTGGTGCCGGTGTTTGTGCCTTGCTCCTTGCAGGGATGACGTGCCAGGCCAGGACGTCCTACACGGAGGACGAGGTGCTGTGGGGCCATCGCTTCTTCCCCGTCATCTCCCTGGAGGAGGGCTTCTTCAAGGTGGATTACTCGCAGTTCCACGCCACCTTCGAGGTGCCCACCCCGCCCTACAGCGTGAAGGAGCAGGAGGAGATGCTGCTCATGTCCTCGCCCCTCATCGCGCCCGCCGTCGGCAACAGCAAGGAGAGGAACAGCTCGGTGGAGTGCCTGGACGGGCTGGACGAGGTGGGCACCAAGCTGCCCTCCAAACTGCAGAAAATCACCGGCAGGGAGGACTTCCCCAAAAAACTCCTCAGGATGAGCTCCACCACGTCGGAGAAGGCCTACAGCATGGGGGACCTGCCCATGAAACTGCAGCGCATCAGCTCGGTGCCCGGCAACTCCGAGGAGAAACTGGGCTCTAAGACCACCAAGATGATGTCGGATCCCATGAGCCAGTCGGTGGCCGAGCTCCCGCCCAAGCTGCAGAAGCTCTCGGGGGGCGGGAGGATGGAGGGGAACCTGCCCCCCAAACTGCGCAAAATGAACTCCGACCGCTTCACATAACCCAGGGGGCCGGGGGCGACCGCGGGGAGCTGCGTCTGCTCCGGGAAGGGAGCGGGGCCGGGAGGGGCCCCGGCACCGGGGGGGTGCTGAACTCTGAGCTCTGGAGGCAGGAGATGGCCCGGTGCGGCGCCGGGAGGCCGGCGGGCCGGGGCCGTTGGCATGTACCATCACACCACGCATGCAGTACCAGTGTGCAACCCCTGCATATAGTCCTGTGGCATGACTCCCACTGTAGTGACACTGTACAGCCCCAAACGCGGGGAGGGGCCTCCCTTCCCCCCCGTACCCCTGAAGGAGTAGGGCCAACACACGAGCGGGGAGCTTTCAGGGTAAGTTCTAACTCCATTTGGGTCTTTTCTCTCCTGGTGTGGGTCGTGATGATTTGTTCAACCGAGTAGTTCTGGTGCATGTCTTTTTTTTTTTTCCTTCTTCAAGGGAGGTGTATTAGTGAATTCCTGACACCGACTCTGCTGGCCTTAAATTAACTGCTGGTTTCTAGTTTGCTTTAAGGTTTTCTGGGGGGGTTTGTTTCCTGTGTCAAGGCTACTGGGAAAAAACAAATCTGTATTTCATAAGGCTTTGTTTAGAGAAGAAACTTGTATTTATAAGTCTAGGCAAGACAATAAATAAATGAATAAAATTCACACTTTAGATATGATCAGTAAAAACTTTTTAAACCTCTGTGATTTATAATCTATGTGCAAGAAAACTGTTTTAAATAAGCAGGATGTGCTTGCTTTCTCATGTTGATAAAATAGCTGGACATGAAACAAGCTGAATGTCTCCACGAAGCCAAGCAGGCTCTTCTGCTGGATGAACTGCACCCCAAAGGCAGAGCCACCATTCCCTCTGTCCCACCGGGCCTGGATTTCCCTCCTCTGGCTGTGGTGGCCAGCTAGGCCAGCAGCCTGCAGGCCATGGTGGTCCCGAGCCCGGGGAGGCTCCTTGCTGCTTTTGCTAAGGTGAAAATGATGTTTAACCATGTTCTGGACTGAAGTTGACCCTGTGGGTTTCCAAATGAGTAATGCTTTGTTTGTAAATGTTGGGGTTGATGTCCTCTGTGTTTGGGTTTCCTTTGTCCGTCCCATTTGGCTCCGGCAGCAGAGTCGACGTGGGATGGGCTGAGTGTTGTGTGGTTGCCCCGTCATCGTGGCTTCTGCTGGGGGAGCACCCTCCCCAAAATTCCAAAGGCCAGCTGTTGAGGTGTCCGTGGATCCTGTGGGCTGTGTTTGGGGCCTTCCCGTTGGCTCCTTCTCGGAGCAGGAGGTCTGGGATGGATGGAGCGATGGGTGGCACCATTAGTGCTCTGGGTAGGAAAGCTGCTGCCAAGAGCACCCAGGAGAAGGGCTCTGTGGAGTGTCCTCTGTGTGTAAAACCCTCTGGACCACATCCAGGTGGTCCCAGGCATGGCCAGGTGGGGGTCAGGGGAGCACCCACGGCTTCATTAATGGCTGGGCCCTTCTGGCTCACGAGCCCTGGCCCATCCTGCACAAATGCTGGCACGTGCTGCCTGAGTGGTAACAGATCTCATAGTCTTTGAGGGGAAAATGGGGTTTGTTATAAATGCTGGCATGGAGCAAGACCCCTGAAGCCCAGCACTGCTGGGGGCTGGCTCAGCCACCGCTTTCCCTAGAAGTTGCAGTGCATGACCTGGCAGTTGTATGAATAACTTTGTATGAACTTTGTATGAACTTCCAAAGTTCCTTTCATGGTTTCTCACCCTTTTTGAGTGGCACTGCATGTTTTTCACAGCCGTGGCTGCCCCTCAGTGCTCTGCACGTTGCTGTAGAAGGGCAGGGCTGACCCATGCTCCACACGTGCTGAGCCAAGGGAAAACCTGGGCTTGTGCTCCCCCTTTTCCTAAAACTCCTTCAGATTGTCTTGTAAAATACCCCTGACTTTTGTGGCTGTTCTCCCAGTCCTTGGCTGGCACCAGGAATAGCCATGTCCAGTTGCCAGGTGTCCACAGCAGATCCACCACCCGGCCCAGTGAGCCCAAAGCAGTGCCCAGCCTGGGAACCAGCCAGGGAGTCCCCCAGCAGCCTGGGCACAGGGCTCTGCCTGGGAAAGGAGGGTCTCCAGCAGCTTGACCCCTCCTCAAAGCTCCTTTGGTTTATTTGGGGTGGGGGGGGAGCAGTGGCTCCTTCCTGGGGGCTGTCGGAGCATGACCCAACCAACCACTGCCCCAGGGTGACACTGGGCTGGGTGGGCATTGCAGGGCCCTGCCAAACAAAATATTCTGTTCTATTCTTTTTCTTAATCTATTCTATTCTTATTCTTAACCTATTCTTGTTCTTATTCTATTTTGTTTTCTATTCTTACCCTTGATCTATTTTTATTCTTATTCTATTCTTAATATATTCTATATTCTATTCTTATTCTATTAATTCTATTCTTGTTCTATTCTTATTCTATTCTCTATTCTTGATCTGTTTTCTACTCCTTATTAATTCTAATTCTATGTTCATTCTATTCCCTTTTAATTATGTCTATTCTATTCTATTTCCTATTCTATTCTATATTCTGTGTTCTAGTCTAGTCTCTATTCTAGTCTCTATATTAATTCTGTGTTTGTTCTAGTCTAGTCTCCTATTTTATTCTGTATTAATTCTATGTTTGTTCTAGTCTAGTCTCCTATTCTATTCTATTCTATTCTATTCTATTCTATTCTATTCTATTCTATTCTATTCT